CCATAAACAAAAAGTAAGTCTATCAAAAAGTGACTATATAGAAGGAAAAAATTGTCAATGATAGTGTTCACAACACTGGATGGTTTGCTTGCAGCATTGAAGATCAAAACCTCAACAGAAGTCTAGATTGGAAGCTCTAGACGGCTAGAGCCCTACTCTCTCTAGTTAGTTGATGAACATCACTCTTAAGGTCCCAACTACTGCATTATCTCATATTCAGTCTCTAAGTTGCTCATAGATATCAAACATATGCAGTCGTAACCAAGACATGAACTTTTTATTCCACAAAATGAACTTCTTTACTACGAGCTTCATATTTACAAGCGTTTTTCATCAAATTGGATGCCAACTTCTTTTAGATACTACATGAATAATACCAAAAAACTTTTCACTCAAGCCTAACACAGGAAATTTTTGACTCCAAGATGTGAAAAATTGCTTACACAAATTTTCACACAAGAATCAACCTCATTTTGATATCAATAGTTTAAAAAAACCTAAAAGAACTAACAAACACAGAGCAACACATACAACTTGCATATCACAAAACCAGATAAACATACGAGTGGTTTGCCACTCTCGGTTAGCTCCGTGGAGAAAAACAAGAACTTTACTCAAAATTCACAAAATGTTCAATGCTAGCTATGGCTTGTTTATTTATATATACATTGAATAAAAAAAATCCTAATTCTAGTTAAGCCTAGTCCCTAGGTTTAGGCTTAACTAGGATTAAGCCTAAACCAAACTCTAGCTTAAATATTTATAAACTAGAGTTTAATGTTAACCTTGAGTTAATAATAACACTACAAAGTAATATTTTTTATATGTAAAAACCATTTGGTATTATTATTATTAAATATGAGGCAAAGAATATGATTAGAAATTTGTTTGTGATTCAATTTGATAAATGATGTCAAAAATTGATTGCATTTTAAGAAATTTTTCTATCAAATATTTTGCAGTATTAACAACCTGATACTAGAATTTTTATAATAAATCAGAAATTTTGAAGACACTATAAAATCTTTCCAAAGTTGATCTGATATCAATTGTTAGATTCCAACACGAGAAAAAAAACTATCGGATACATGGAAGAAGAAAAAAGTTGTGATTCATCATCTCGGACAATGTCCATAGAAACACATCACGATTTATTAGAAAAAACTTAATTTATGTACTAATAAATTAACTATCTAATCCAATCAAGATCAAGTTAACAAAAGATAATCAAAATATGAATTCTGTTTATGTTTTGTATTAATTCTAGCATAATTGATTTAATCTTATATCTTTAATCTCATGATATTCAAGTCAATTTTTGTAAATCAAGTGTAATATTCTTAGACCTTTGTGAACATACAACCTATGCTTTCAAAAAATATTAGACAATGAATGATTTACTAATTTCATTTTTGCAAACAAAGACAGAATTAATTTGCAAGTGTAGGAAAATCTTTTCCTCTTGCATCTCATTAGCTCAAATTTCAAAGCCATTATTACATTTAAAACTAACAATCTTACAAACTCACCAACTAGCAAGTGGATATGCTATCAATTTTATGCCCCTTTTCCTGATGGAAAAATCTTCAAATTTTGGATAATTTCAATTCTTGATTATTTTGAGAATCCATGAAATGAAAACAAAACTTCAAGTCTATGATGATACGCTTCTAACTATTTGATGTTGGAGATTTCCAAGAGATTCAAAGGTTTTCATCGAAATGATCTACCTTTTCGGAAAATAATTCTCTTTACAAGGAATATTCATGTAGAGATGAATCACACCACGATGATGAGAATCATTGTCTTGATGCTAGATCGTGATGTTGGCCTCTACTACTTTCATAGTTGAGTGGCATATTTTTCTTTGGATTGTTTCTTGAATCTCTAGGGTTTAAAATTGAAGGCTCCGAACCATGCACTTGTAAGGCTCACTGAATTAGCCTTACACGGGTTGTACATATTCATGATGCCACATGAAAGAGGAGATTCACGAGCTCTTCGTAGAGAAGAAACACTTAAATGCTGCATCTCACATTCATCAAACAAACACATCAAAACATCCCCTTCCAAATGTAGCTTGATACCTCCATGCCAAGATATTTACATGTCTTTGATCCAATATTGAATGCAATTTCATTTTTATTCACATGTTCCTATACATGTGTTTTGTACGTTATTTAACCCTAAATCAACAAAATGCAAGGAAAAAGACTCCCAGTGTTTCTAAAACATGCGGTAGCTTGGACGTGATGATAAAATTATCATGCTGATTATCACTTATCAACATCTCTTCATTTAGATTTTTTTAATATAGTATAGAAATTGGAGGTAAAAATCACTGTGTTTGTGATAATTTGACGAATTAGATAATCTATTTTCATCTATCTGAAATATTACGAAAGCACATAAAGGATATTTCATGGTTTATATAAACCTTTAGATAATTGGGTTCCGTTGTTATTGAGATACCTATGTTATTATTCAGACTTTTTTCTATATCACTGGGTGATATAGAAAGAGGTTTATAGAAGCTATTTTGTGGAAGTTTTAAGATGCTAGCTTGCGATGTGCGTAATCTCCCGTTATTGAAGTTGGGACTCATAATCGGCGTCTTATTCCTCTGAATGTAGTGTACGATGAACGTATCGTTCGATGGACCGTTTTATTCTTTCCCTCTAGAATCTTCCCGAAAGATTGAAATATACCGCATCTTATCCCTTATCGGCCCCATTGATATTGACCATGAGTGTAGCCTTGAGTATAAGACCCGGTTTAAATGAGTTTCAACAAAAGGGAACAGTATCTCTAACGCCTCATTATTACATCTTACTCTTTTACCGGAGACTTGATATTCTGCAGTTACCATCGATTGCGAGGAGGTTCATATCGCGATGCCGAGCCCAACCTCGACTTGAGAGTATCGAGGTTTTCCAACGTCTGGGCCAATCTTACACAATCTTACCCTTTCTTTCCACGTAGGCTTCAATTCGAAGAGCCATACAACCAATAGCGTCGCGGACGTGTCGCACAGAGGCCTTTGGGTTGCCTTTTCGCCATCTCATCGCTAAAGTTCACGCTGACAAGGCGCTAAACTGCTACTGTCAAGTTTTCTCTTTCGAGACTTGTGCCATAACGGACTGCGCCTCTTCCACCGGAAAGGTTCAAGACCGTGCGAATGACAGTTAATTGAGTCTTCCAGTTTCCTTAGCAAGAGAAGTTTAAGGAAAACATATTGGACACTTCGATTGAAAATATCTAACTGCTGCACGTTCATTTCTGGGCTGAATTCCCTCGTCTCGTTGCTGAATGCTGAAAGGAATCTACAGTTGTTTTTTGGAACACAGATTTAGGTGTTTTCGAACACGTAGTACTTGTGAGAGTAAATACAAGTTAAGATATTTTCGGAAGTTCTGAAAAGTGGCAGAATTACCTGCTGCAGAAAAGGAGACTAACAGTTGCAACCTGCTCCATGAGTCGAGAGGCCAAGTGGTACAGGCTTGTCGGTAAACTATATGCTAGGTTTGGCTTCATGGCACAGAAGTTTCGACAGATTCATCAAGTTGATCTTCTAGAATCTAAGCCCGTCCATGTATCACATGTTGCTTTTATAATCTGAATGCAACAAGTCGAAACACATATAATGCTTGATGGTCTCCGATGAAGATTGCATATTGGACAATTCCTCAGATCTTGTTAAATAAGTGTGACTCACTTCATTTAGTGAACAGAGACGTTGACAAAACAAAATGGGTGGAGTTGACAAAATAAAAGGGGTGGAGAGAGGATTGATACACGTGACAAATAAAAAGTCCATGATTTCTTTGAGTGTCAAAACATGCATGAGAGAGAAGGTTCATGAATGTGAAGAGCACCACCATAGAATAAGTCAGTGCCTGTTAGACTCTACAGTCCATATTTCACCAACTCCGAAGTCCATCATGTCCTCTCCAAGCGTAATGTGAATTGGGCAGACGTTAAGAATATGAATTCTGCATATCTAACTTGATAATGTGAGGACACATCTTATTCAACAATCTCTCAGGAGAGAACGATGCGAAGGAGAGGAATGATGGCATGCTGAACCGAGGACTTTTACATAAGGAAGACTCCTAAATGGGAGACTTCGAACAAGAAATCTTCCATCATGAAGACCACATACGGAAGACATTACAGTACTTGTGAGCAGTGAGCAATGATTAGCGTAACCTGGCTCTCCATATCGCTAAATCGGTGAAGTAACCCTCGTGACAGGCTCATGGTTTACAAAGTTACCAAAAATAGGCAGCAGTTACGACAAGACGAGGTGGTCTTATGACTCTGGTCCTCTACCCGGAGACCTAAAGTTCCATTTCCAAGTCCAACCTGGGGAGCACGAATGTGCCCTCGTAATTAGGGGCCCTGTCCTCGTGACCGGAACATCGAGAGCCCATCAAATTCAACGATATGGATGGATCGTGGATCACGAACCGACGGTAAAAATCGAACTACGTGGCTACTTAGATCTCTTGCGGAGTCCCTCGACAAACGCCAAAGCCTAAGGAGTCTAGAACACACGTGGGCAGCTTCAGAGTTCCGATTCCCTTAACATTGACGTCGTTGCTCCAGTGTCCAGTCTTACCATGCGAGTCCTAACTGGAGGCATAAGCTGAAGAAATTACGTGTGATGCAATACGCCTGAAAAGGCCGTCAGATCCCTAATCGAACAGTTTTGAATAAGCGATTCGAGAGAATATTCCCCTGACATGAATATCTCCTCGCGATCGACCACGAAGGTCGGGCCAGTAGGTAGGTGAGGCCAGTTGGTAGCCGAGGCGGGTGGACAACGCTCGCAGGCTCGGAACAGCTCCGACGGGTGGTTTTCTGAGTAGTTGGTAGCCTTGGCGCAGGCTCGCGGAGCTCGGGCCCCGGTTCATCTCCATGGCAAATCTTGTCGAGGCTCTCCTGGCACGAGAGTTGGAGAGTAGAGGGAGTAGATGATGAGGCTGCAGTGGTGGTGGTGGGAGTGATGTGAACAACTGAAGGGAGGGCGGAGGAGGAGAAGAAGAAGAGGGAGAAGAAGGAGTCGAGGAAGGGGATAGAGTGTTGCAGAGTCTTCTGGACGAATTTCCGACCTGGGGCCAATTTTAGGACACCTGCGTCACGTTGCTGTTGTCTGGAGATTGGGCCTGGCTGGAACCTCTTCTGTAGAATCCTTGACTCTCCCTTGAATCTCCTCAAAAAATCTCAGCTCTCAATCAGCCAGCTCGTGATAAGAACCCGCTGTGCTGTAGCTTCTGTAGAAGCGACTCAGGAGTAGGAGGAAGACAAAGGAGATAGGAGAGAGGGTGAGACACAAGTTTGTTCCAATCCGCAGGTGTTTACACAGAAACTCGCGAATCTTTCAGGTGTGGAGGTTGGTGGGTAGTGAATCGTGGAGGTTTTGGTTCCACGGGGTTTTTCTCGCATGCTCGAGGTAATAGAATTTTCAAGAGGTGTGAAGGGTTCACAAAGCGGCAGTTAGAAGGTGGTGGAGTTGTTGTCTCGTGGAGTCTCGTTAGACGCAGGATTCAGGTTTACAGGAATTCAGGAAGAGGAAGGAAGGGATGCCCTGTGAATTCCTGGCGCAACGAGGTGTGGAGGTTACTCGACAGCTCAAATCGGATTGACGGATGGACCATCTCCACCGGTGATTCTGGAAGAATGGTGAGCAATCGTCTTTCGTCGTGCCTCTGTCACAAACTTTCTGTTGCTCCCCTTGGTATCCACACCTATTTTCTTTCGGAGACCATGCCTGAGTAGTCCATCCTTCGAAGCAGTATTTTTTGGGTGCTCAAAAAAGTCCTTATCTCTTGGTGGATGCCTTATCATGGAATACACCCCATTCACCCCGCTTGTGTCCTTCTCTGTGTCATAATAATATCTTTATATTTTCTGTGATTTCTCTGTGTTTTTTATCTCTAATCTCTCATGTTTGAGAAGCTCAATCCAGATATTGTGTGTGTTTTGAACGATGTTACCAGACTCGTGGGATAGGCTTCGTAAGATGTGTGTGGTCACCTAGAAGCTTTGCTTGAATGGAATGCTAGGGCTGTTTGCTTGTGCTTTTCACGAAGCGAACAAACGCAGATTGCTTTTCCTTGTAAACAGTAGTATGCAGTCATAGAGATATCGCATGACGTGTAAGACTACCTGTTTTTAACCATAGGACATGTTTTATTAGTATCGTGAGCGGTACTGGGGTAGTCTGAGCTTCTATATGTCTCCTGTTTGATACGTCGAGTAATAGTTATCGCTTAACTTCGTCTTGGAAAACTTCTTTACTTCCACAAGAATCGCAACGATCGTGAAGGTTTTGATGCAAGATTTATTACTTGTCGGATTTTCTTGATATCTCCTGTAGAAGTCATGGTTTGATTGATTGTAGTCCCAGAGTTTTCCTTTCTCTTTCTTTGTTGTCGAGCTCACTGTCGGCTTTATTTGTGCGCATAAGCGTTTCATACGACTTTACGGACCTCTCCGTACATGTCCCGTCACCGCTGCAATTTTATTTATGAATTATATTTGAATCTTGGCCTGTATCGTCGAATGGAGCTTTTTTAGACAATCGTAACGCGTGTTCGCCTGCATTGTCCATCTTGTCTGAATCAAATTGTGTGGGCGATCACCCTTTTCCAGACTCTACAATCCATAATATCATCTTGCTTTACGTGTCTATAGATTGGCCGGTAAAAGTTCCTTCAGACATTGCACGAGGCCTTACATAGATCGAGGACTTGAATCTAGTGCAGATTGGATGAATCCATGGTGCTCATGCTATCAATTGCCCGCAGCCTGCAGAATTGAGGGATGCCCCACTGATGGAGTAACGCGTGCGAAGAATTCGAAGCAGACTAGAAGACTTACAGGACAACAATTCACAATTTCAGTCAACAGGGGCCAGGAGTGAAGCACATGCTTGGGTCGGTGTGCTTCAGGCGGTCTCTCAACAAGTGCAAGTCAATTTTCTCAGCAACGGTGGCGCTGTCACAGTCACACCCTTCTAGTCCTCACACTTACTCGACTAAGCTCATCTCCCGTCGACCGACGTCTACAAATCTCCCTCGTACCATTCGCCGATCGCGCCAGAGGGATTTCCCTTCGGCGCGGTCGGACCCCAAGGCCTCCTATGTCAAATCGTCTGTGGTCGACTCGCACTCTCAGGTACGATATATTCATTCTTCTCATCGTGCACTCCAGCTTCGTCGTTTCTGTCCACAATAGAGAATCTTCCACAACGATTCTAAGTATCATCTGAACTGACCACATCCTCGTCTGCATTTGACTCTATTATCTGATCATAGTTCCACCTTTGTGTAGTTTTACCCGTATCGAGTGGTATAGAACGACTGTACCGCCGAATTGATGAATGGAGTTTAGCTGTCCTACTTGGAAACCTTGAAGTAGCAAGCTTGTATTTCATAGGATGGGGTCGTCAGGCAGTAGAGTGATGCAATGCTTTACGTAATATGGGTTTTTATAATTTTCAGCCGTCCCCCTACGGCCCAGACTCCAGGCAAGGTTCTGAACAGTCTGGGAACGATTTTTTTTGGGGGTAATTGTCGCGGTGAGAACATAGAAGGGCATATATTGTAGTTTATTCTGATGACACTTTAGTGATGTACATGATTGAGTGAGATTGAATCCTCTCCCGAATTGTTGTTTGTGGCGTTGGTCTGACCTGAGGCTCGTTCACTGGGAGCTTCTTCTGCTTTATCACTCTTATAATATGACCCTGTTCTTGCAGAATTGTTCCACGCGTTTCCATCACCACTCAAGCTCGTGCTTGTTGGCTGGGAATGGAGCTATCGGAGCGACTATCTGGCACGCGCTCCTGCCATCCCGGCACTTGACATCGGCCGAGAGGGAAATAATCTTGCCCACCAGAAAGAACAGCGACGCAGGTGTCGTGAGCGTAGGGCTGGGAAGCAGCAAAGCTATTCACGGTGACTTGGGGACATCTGGTAGTTCTACACTCGCGTTTAAGCCCGGAACACTGGGAGTAGAGGGGCTAGGAGCGACCGCTGATGGATTCCAGGGCAGATTTAGAGGTATAAACAGCAGATTTGCTATGGCCGCCGGACTGAGGGAAGGCTCGTGGAATGTTGCCTGGGACGCCAGACCGGCTCGGTGGTTGCACGGGCGACACTCTGCCTGGCTTCTTTTTGGAGTTTGTGCCTGTTTTTCAGCTGCTGCCGGTGCTCCTGTCCCGTTGATTTCAACTACTGGCACTTACACCATTGCCGAGCCCGATAGAACAATGGCTGCTCTTGCCGATTCGGAAGGTGGAGACAAGGATTGCCAAGTATCTCATGGGAAGCAGGTTTACACGAAGTACTCTGTCACCGGTAAGAATCACTGCGGTAGAAAATCTGAGCTTTCTCGCAGTTCTGTCATCTTGATGCATCCACAAAGTGTCGTTCTAATGCTTATAGCAGACACTGGAAGGAAAGTTGTATATGAAATGGATTCAAATTAAGTCTTTCTTTTTGTCCAGGTATTCCTGGAGATGGCAGATGCCTTTTCCGAGCCGTGGCCCACGGATCGCTACTAAGAAATGGCAAGGAGGCTCCTGATGAGTGTCAGCAGCGGGAACTTGCGGATGATCTTCGACGAAAGGTAGACTTTCTTTACGTTAGAGAGCCAATTGTGCTTTCAAGATATCTCAACTGTTCGTGCAATCGCTGATGATTATCGTTGGTGATATCTCAGGTCGCAGATGAGTTGACGAAGCGTCGAGATCAAACAGAGTGGTGAGTAAATGCTGAAGAGAAGGCAATGCTTTGTAGTGAGACATTCTGGTCAACGTTGTTCGCGTCCGTACCATCTGGTGCCTTCAGATCGAATAAATTATAATTGGTGTGAGTAAGATGCTCTGTCACGTACTCTTGTACTGAAATTTCGTGGCCTCGTGTATAATAGGTTTATAGAAGGCGACTTCGACATGTACGTCAGCCGCATGAGGCAACCTCATGTCTGGGGCGGGGAGCCTGAACTTTTGATGCTATCGCACGTTCTCCAGTAAGTCTTCGTCTTCATGTTGGCTCTAGTCGTATCTTAGGAATGTGCGAAATGTAACACAAGTAGATTGACTATGATCAGCTTCGCTCGGCCACATAATAAGTATATTTGAATTTTTGAGGGTTTCAGATCAAGATGTGTGCGTAAAGTGTATGCTAAGCTGTTAGTGAGTCTTATCATCTGAATGACTTTCACCTAACGAAGGCGGCGTTGCTTACGATGTCAGGATGCCGATCACTGTCTACATGGCAGACCGCAACACGAAAGGTGGACTTATTGCTATATGCGAGTACGGCCAGGAATATAGTACCGACAATCCCATCCGCGTACTATATCATGGATTCGGGCACTACGATGCTCTGCAAATCTACGGCGAGGGAGCTACCGCTTCTAAGCTTTGAATGCCATCTTGGAAATGATGAAGCAACCGAATTGTCCATACAGCACCAACTGCGGCAGATTCAGTCTTGTAGCTTAGAAGAAGAGAAGTAGTTGACAACTCTGTAACGGTCTCGTAGTCACCAATTGTTACAATCATTTCATAATACGAACAGAGGCAATAATGTATTGCTCTCTTCATATCTCAGTAGAGTGTTTGATTAGGATAAAGAGCTGATCCCATTATTATTACCGACTAGTAAGTAATGCTAGTAGTTTTGATAGCGTAGAGGAAATCGACTTTAGGATGTCGCTGAATTGGTAGAGAAGACAACTGTCTATGCTTAGATATTTGCGGTAGAGGCCGAGTGACAGTTACTAGAAGTGACAGTGGCCAATTAAAACTTGTAGAAAGGAAGGACACTGAGGTCGTAGACGTAGAGAGATAGAGAAGAGCGCAGTGAGGTTTAGTGTTAGTGTGATGGTCGACGAGTGCTTGGGGGCAATAGGAAAGCCTTTCTCAAACTGGGGTTGGTAAGTTGGCCTCAGATGAGGAACCAGCAGTGGTCACAAACATCACCAATCATTCTTGTATCCATTTCCCAAGCAAAGCAGCAATTGTGGATCAAATTTTTAATTTGTACCTTTTGGTACTACATCATATATTTATTCTTAAATGAGTGTGTTTCAAGGCAGGCGGGAAACGGCATCTGACATCTTGCGTATTTATTTACTCTTCTTGTATCCATTTCCCAAGCAAAGCAGCAATTGTGGATCAAATTTTTAATTTGTACCTTTGGGGACTACATCATATTTTTATTCTTAAATGAGTGTGTTTCAAGGCAGGCTCGAAACGGCATCTGACATCTTGCGTATTTATTTTCTCTTCTTCTGTGGACAGCCTAAGAGTGTAGACTCGAATTGCAATTTCTATGAGCGCGGTATGTGTGACACTCGAGGAGACAGGTTTTTCATAGTTTTATATGCTGAAATGTTGATAAATGCAGTTTTTAGGTCAAATCTGAATAGTTCTCTAAGATAAATGCCGAACTCCCATTTTGCAACCACGGAAACCATCGTGGGACGGATCATCGGTTGCAATCAGAAAGGTTTTTGCACTCTTTTGAGGATGTGGATTGTGATGGCTCTATTGTAGAACTTTGTTCTAGGCCCCAGTCCCGTGAAGCGGGTTTGCGCTGGTTTTAAGACTTCGTAGTAAGTGTTTTGCAAGTATTACTAACTTTCTAATTAGTCAAGAAATCATCCCTAGTATATAATTAGTTTTCCTTTTAAACCCTAATGTTAGAATGTTATTAGAACTACTTTGTTAGATACTTGAGTGTGAAATATCCTTCATGAAATATCAAGAGATGGTTGAGAGGGTTTAATTTTTGAGAATATATAGAGCTTTGGAAGAGGTCACCTCTTTGCATGTAAAGAGATGGGAAAAGTTACATTTAAGTTTTGCAGATATGGAGATGTTTTAAAAAAATATAGTATTCCAATGCTTGATCTCCAATCTATTTGATATTCGTCTTTGTTTGTGGTAGTGTGGTTTTTTCATTCTTTAAGGAAACAATGAAGTTTGAGAAGTAAATACAAACCATTTCAAACTTTTAGAATAAGAGTAGTAAGAAGAAGAGTAGATAGGGAATTTTGGAGTAGGCGCTAAGTAGGAATAGAGAATACATAGGATCCCAGTAGGTAGAGCTCGGCATGCTCGTTCCAATGAGCCCAAGAACGATGGAAATGGACAAGGGGATCTTGAGATGCAAAGGTAGGTAGCTAAGAACCTGCTTCGACGAAAACATAGTACAGTCTTCGGAGAAGAGTCTTCTGACTTCGAGTTTAGTGCCTTTGGAGATACATACGAAGAGTATTTGGCGAAGGATCTTTGGTGAAGTAAAAGACGGCACTAAAAGGAAAAAAAATTCAAACGCTGTACCTTCAATTCGCACGAATCTACGATGTCGTTAGGGCGGCGAATTACAACAGGAGAAACGCGAGCTCAACCCCGATATTCCACGAGAGTGCATTTGCGAATTGAAAGCTCAACGAGATTTGTGAGGCAGAGATTGAGGAAACAATGATGCGGCGAACTTCTAGATTTTGATTATCGGCATCGAAGGTGCCTGAATTCGGATTGAGAGCTTACCGTAACAAGCTAATCGCTACCAAGCTCGATTTCCTGTTGTGGGGATGGAATTGGATTTGCACGGCGATGGTGCAAGAGTGACACGACGAACGTGCACCGGAAGCTGAAGGACTCCGCGGCAACCCGACAATCGAAGATTGAACAAAGGTCCTGGGACCGTGCGTAGGGAAAGATGGGGATTTCACCTTCGACAGCGATAGTGTGAAGGTGATTCAAGTGGAGGAGAAGACATATGCGCCATTATTAAGAAAACCTCGTTCAAGAAAAAACGAGTACCGAACGATAGGGTATCATGATCGATTTCGTAGGAATGTAGTAGTGGATTTGATGCAGATCCTTTGGCCCTCGCGTACGACGTACATGAGGACATGGCAGATTGGATTTGTAGAACCTGCGATGACAGGGAAATCTATTCAATGAGCGCGCATCATGTGGTTTACTACGCGCCAACACATTGGTGAAGCATTCGGGGGATCGGTGAATTACATGTCCCCATTCTTCATCAACTTCTACAAAGGTATGGGTTTGCTGACTGCAGCTGAACAGAAGCGATTTCCGCTCGAGAGAGAGTCAGCGAACGATGAAGCGACGCTGGGCGACAATGAGGTTGCGAGGAGTATAACACTACGATTGCATTGCCTTCGGCCAAAGACGACAAGTCAGAGAATGAGGACGAAGAAGAAGAGGAAATTACATCGAGTCGCAATTTCAGAATCGACCGATCATCGTGCTGGAATTCAAGTTCGAAGGCCAATTCCCACGAAGCTGAGATCGGATAATGTACGTGCTCGTAGCAAGATGAAGGCGAGACGACGGCCGAGTGAGGAAGAAGGAAGCATGAAGTGCAGCGAAGCCACATCTAAGGGCCAGATCACTTCGGCGGAGTGGATAGAGATAGAAGCAAAATTTGCAGGCACGGACAAAGAGAGAACTTCGACAAAGGGCCTTTGGTCTTTGAAGTGAAGACCTTTGGCAAGATCAGCGGAAGATCCGTCGAAGGAAGCAGAAGAGCAAGCAGGTGATACGGAGGTGGAGACCTCGAGTCAAAGACGACAACATTCGGGCCAACCAATTGTGTACACGCCTTTGGGGAAGGTATGTTTGTAGGTACCTGCGTAGTTATTAAACACGGCGGATGATCCCACTTTGCTGGAGGAATTCGTATATCGCATAGTGGAGGATGTGGGAAGAACGATATATAGTCGACTTAGACTGTGGCAAAGGGCCTTCGTCCGAATAACATAAGTCGGTCGGACTCAGTGCAGTGAACATGTTGAACGAGCAAATTATCCCCTTGCTCAGGTATCTGGACGGGAAGATGACGAAGTACGCCGAGTAATCCATAGCGGTATCCTACGTGGAGTTAGTGTGTAGCAGGACGCGGGCGAAGGTGACAACATCTGCGGAGGTAGCCGAAAGAGTGATAAGCTTGACCTCATAGTGCGCGACCGTGAAGGCTACCTTGCAGGAATAGAAGAAGCGTCTTCGGCAGACAGATTCGAATGTGCCAATCTTCGGAATAGTTTAGCAGCGGAGAAGGACCTTCGGGCATCGTCGGAGCGTGATTGCACGAGCCTTTGAGTCGACATTGAGAATGTGCGGAAGGCGACAGTCGATCTTCAGGATAGATTGGAGGCGTCTAGAGTGACGTTTAATGAGGAATCGTGTCGCGTGGATGAGATGACTGCAGATCTGGCAAAGCGAGATCACTTGCATGCAACTGCGTTAGTGGCGAAGGCGAAGGAGTTGGCAGACTGCGAAGGATTGCTAAGACTTTGGAGTTGGAGTAGAGGTAGAAATTGGATGCAGATTGCAACGAGATGCAATATCAACTGTCAACAGATGGAAAGTAGTTGATCGCGTCTGAGGCTAATTTGCTAGAGGTGGAGGCGCAGAATCAATAGTTAGCGGATTAGACGGATGAGGCATTGAGTGCGAAGGTAAATCGATGCTTTTGCGGTTATGTGGAGTGGAAGATTCAGAGGCTTAGGTGGATGAAGTTGAGAGACTGGAGCGTCACTTGATCGCTAGTAGTGTAGAGGGACATCGGCAATTAGGTAGGAAGCTTGATTCGTTCATCTCCAGTTTGGAGTAGACGAAGGAAAGCTTAGCATTAGAAGTATCAGCTGCTTTGCGCAGGATAGGTGTAATAAGAGCTCAGCGGGCGTGGCAGCTGTCGGGTCAGCTTGCATCACAACGAGTGACACCTTAGTGAGTTAGTTAGGTATAAAGAGGTCCAAGGCTCATTGGGGGCATTTCCATTAGTTAATTTCTCAGTTTTCAATCTGCATTCCTCCGCGCGTTTGTGAATTGCGTGTTTTGTCACCGTGCGCGAGTTGCTTCTGTTTGTCAAAGATACCACATCTGAAGTAGAGAGTCCAATTCGGATATTTTGAGTGGTGCGTAACATAGTTCAAAAAATAAGCAAATCTGTACATTGGAAGCTCCATGCAGCCGGCTGAGTGTATACATTGGGAATTTTCCCCCCTGAATATCAATTGTAGAGTCGCGTGCGGCTCTTGTAGTATCTTATTGGATAATTTTCAGGTTTGAGTGTGCATCTACTTTGCAGTGCGATGTCTTCGGACTTAGCATTTGCAATGTTTTATGGGAGTGACAAGTGCCTAAGAAATAAAAAAACTTTGCAATAAACTGTTAATTGTGACAATACTTGATTCTCTGGGTTGTTTCTGTACTTGTGGTATTGGATTTTTACCATTATGCTCCATTTCAATAATTATCTGCTATCACATTGTTGCATGAAGAATTATCACTTTAAGATGTAAGTAATGGCTTATAGGGATGCAAGTTTTATGACTCAAGTGATGAAATCAAAAGTACTTTTGATACTTTCGATTGTTAGTTACAAAAAAAAAACTTGAGATACTACCATCTACAATCTATTATGAATGTTTAATGAATTTTAATTCAAAAAACATCCATCCCGATTAGATTCAACACATATATAAACATTAGAACAATATATAGACAAAAGAAAATGTGGAGAGATTATCTTATGTGATATTATGAAGTGTACTATATGATTGTTATAGAATCAACTATACCTTTTGTAACTGCTTTGTTGAAACTTTAGATTGTTATTATACTTAATTTGTATTAACGGAATAAGAGAAAACATAAAAACATCATTTAATTTGAATATAGTTGTAAATGCAATCATGACTAAGATAAAAGAATTAAAAAATAGTATATGAATTGAAGAAAAAAAATTATGATATCCTATTGATGTATATGTCATTATATTACCATTTGAAATACCAAAAAAATAAAGTTTTATTTTAAAAAAATGATGAAGATGAAAAGTAGCTATATATTTTTTTAATTGATAATTTTAATATCTTAAAATTTTTTAAAAAACCACGCAACAATACATAGGTGAAATTAAATTATATTCAATAATTGATGTCATACTTTTAAACTAAAGACATGATGTTTAACACTTAGTTGACTATTTTTATCAAAAGGTAGTGACAGTCAAGCAGAATTACTATACAACTTAATCACATGAATTAATAGTTTTATATA